TTTTTCCTAAAGAAAACTACCTCATTTTCTTTGTTACCAAAGTTTTATACTGCATTCTCTGTATTACACTGTCCAATCTGAGTTTGGTAAATATTTGTCGCAGCTTTTTACTGGTCCATTGTTGTTATACAGTGTTGCTGATATTTTTTTTAAGTAACAGCTTTTAGCAGGTGGGTGATTTTTAAGTCTAGCTCAGATTTTTCCAAATGTTATACCGTGTACAATGTCCATGGAGCTTTTCTACTTCTTTATGTATTTATTCATTTGGGTTTTGTGTTTGTACAGAATGGGGATACAGGTTTAAGCTGTGGCTTAAAGGATTTCAGGAAAACATGCATGATAATAGTGTTTCAAAGGAGAGAAATCCTAAACAAAACGGTCACAAATGAAAAAGAAACATGAATCATGACATGATGGTGAAAATCCATGTTGGGTAAATTCCAGAAAAACAGCCCTAAAATGTTTTGCATGGGAAATATTAATCCTCAAATTCAAATGGTGGATTTGAATAACACCAGGAGGCAATGTAGTGAGAAGGTGGCCAAATGACTATGCAGGATAAAACTTTATTTGCCAAATGAGAACTGATATGCCCTGTTTTCCCAACACCTGTGGACAGAAGACCATATGTGAAGAGCCTGAGGATCATGGGATAACATGAATTTCCCATACTCTTCTGCAGGATGCACGTGGTTACAGTATTGTAGGTTCTGCTGTTCGTTTACTTAGGATCAGAAATATTTTTAAGATGATAAATCCCCCAAAATTATGAGGAGACATATCAACAAGTCATCAACATAGATATGTGTTTTTAAAGAAAGTGGTTAAATGAAAGACCAGTTTTTGCAATAGGTGTAGGTATTCTGCCCTCTATCTCCATTACCACAAATATAATGAATAGTTCAGACTGACTTTATTGAAAATGAATTTTGCTAGGTGTTGGCACGGCTTTATTTTCGCCTTGTATTTTTCATCCGTTTTGGCTTCTTTTACTTTTCAAATACAGTCTTCTGAATTCAAAGCTGTATGGTTTGCACAAGCCCAGAGGGAAGTCAGATGGTAATGTCCATGGAGATATTTCAGCGTGTGATTTCTTTGTGCACATAATCTTGGGCGATAAATCCCAGGTAATGAGGTGCAATAGGAAGTCTTTATAGGCCGAGGTGAGATGTGATTGTTAGCTGCAATTCGGCTAAAGTTTTAAGCGGAGGCGGGCTGTTTCACAGACAGAGTAGGGCTAGGTTGCAAAACATGAGATGCCACATACAAGGCAGTGATCTCACTACACTGCTGGGCTCTTAACAGGTCAGGGCACAGACCCTCCTGTTGTTGTCTTTTGGTGTATCTGTTTTTCTCTTGTCTTGCTGCATTTTCTTCCAGAGCTGTTGGGGAAAAAGATCAGTTCTTCCACCCCTGGTCTCCCATAGAGCCAACCGTTCGACGTCATTCTGTGTCAATAGGGCGCTCAGTGTGCATGCTTGAGACAGAGAGAGAGATAGATGATAAGATGCATTGTTCAACAGCGCAGGTAAAGAAAATCGAGTAGATAGCTGATCCCTGTGTTGCAATCAGGCTTTCAGAACCCCCTTTCTTATCACACCAACTTCAGTCCGATTTTCAAAACATGTTTCCTTCGCAAAGAAAGAAACCACTTCACGGTGAAGGGGGCTGTATGCATCACAGGGCTCACTCGCTGAACCAGATACAGAAGGCACGTCGCCCCCCTCAGAAGTCTAGCCACGTGAAATTCTGCCGCAGAGCAGAGCTGGTCTTCATGCGCGGTGGAGTTATCTTGTGTCTTGAGACTGGCAAGTGGGATCAACTCCCAGCAGGGGCAGGGAGACCTGCTCTTGTCGCGTATACGGTATGTTAGGTATCACAGGCCATTCTGACTAAAGATGTTTCTAAGAGTATTGTTACAGCAGTTCAAATGCATGCTTATTACATCATCACATCACTTTCAATCACACCTTACCCAGTTCAGGGCCCAAGGTGGCCCCTGGCAGCATTCGGCACAAGGCAGGATACATCCTAGACAGGATGCCAGTCCATCATGGGATACAGATACTCTATATGCAGTCATGTTTATAAATAGAAGTTATGAAAGGGATGATTTTTTTGTAACTTTTAAGTAGGATGAATTTGTTTTGCATAATGGAAATGTTCATTTTTACAATTTTCAAAAAGGAATAGTAAAACATACAGATGTTTTCAATAAATATACAGCTCTTACCTGAAGAAGGCTCCACAGCTGAAATGTTGTTTCTTTTCTTCTGGACTAAACCTTTACATGTTCCTTCATAAAATATACATATGCATATGTATTTACAACCCCCTTGGTTAAAAATATTTAGTTTTCTAATTGGCACGGCTGAGCCATGTAGTGTAGCTCTTGTGTTTTTATTTTCAGGCCCTGTCCCTTTGAGTAGGCTCTGGCCTGTGGTGTTAAGGACTAGGTTTGTCTTTGCACTTAAGGGGTCACGAGGTCAGTCCAAGTCCACTGTCACATTCAACTTATGCCGTGACCTCCAGTTTAAGAACAGGTGCTGCCGAGCTGAAGCAAGGAAGCCTGCTGTCTCAAAGTTCTCTGAGTGCATCTAGCAAAGGCAATGAAACCTTCCTGGAAATTATTAAAATCGATCCTTTAACACAGTGTCAATTTTAGCAGGCTCTTCTCTCTGCATTTGACTTCTATACCTGTTCTGATTATAATAATAATAATTGCTTACACTTATATAGTGCTTTTCTGGACACTCCACTCAAAGTGCTTTACAGGTAATCCCCTCCACCACCACCTGTGTGCAGCCCCACCTGGATGATGCAATGGCAGCCATAGTGTGCCACACACCAGCTCTCAGTGGGGAGGAGAGCAGAGTAATGAAGCCAGTTCAGAGATGGGGATTATTAGGAGGCCAAGATTGGTAAGGGCCAATGGGAAATTTGGCAAAGACGCCGGGGTTACACCCCTACTCTTTTCAAGAAACACCCTGGGATTTGTAATGACCACAGAGAGTCAGGACCTCGGTTTTACGTCTCATCCAAAGGACAGTGCCTGTTTACAGTATAGTGTCCCCATCACTATACTGGGGCATTAGGACCCAGATAGACCACAGGATGAGCGCCCCCTGCTGGCCCCACTAACACCTCTTCCAGCAGCAACCCTAGGTTTTTCCCAGGAGGTCTCCCATCCAGGTACTGACCAGGCTCACACCTGCTGAGCTTCAGTGGGCTGCCAGCTGTTAGTTGCAGGGTGATATGGCTGCTGGAATTATCTCTATAATTTTAGTTATAGAAATTAAACTCCTAACAATTGTAAGAAACAAAATAATTTGTAATAGGTAAGGAGTTTTCAAATACCATCTTTGGAGTTTGTTCCGATAGTAAAACATTTCTGGACCCGGCTCCTTTACACAAGTGATTTAGTTCAGGTCCGTCTTGAGAGGACACCAGTTATAACAGAGTTGTGTATTGCAGATGGGCTCAGTGGTTAGTTTTTTCACAGTCCAGTCCTGAAACGCCAAATTGGTTGTCTGTGGAGTTGTTGTTGTTGTTGTTTTTTAATAGCCCCAGGATATGGGTGATCCTAAGCAGTTTTGTGGAGTAGTGGCTAGAGCTCTGGGCTCTGGACCTGTAGGTCATTGACTCTAATCTGCAGTGTTCCTGCTTTTTTTTATTTTGTATTGTATTTTTATCACAAGTATTTAATGCAGTTTGGTCCACTAAATGCTGCTTTAGTATGAATAGGAGCTGCAGGCTGTCTACTTGAATTTGTAAATGAGTTTGATCTCATTTGACTTATCTGATTGATATAAAATTCTGATAAGTTGCTTTGGATGAGCCTGCACAGAGCTTCGTGATTGATAACGGTTCGTTCCCTCCTTCTGCCTAGGATTCTGGAGAAGGAGAAGCAGTGAGATGTGGTCAGATGTTGCTTGTCCTGTTTCATAGTTCAGCTGCTCGTTCTTTCTGCTCCTAGTAACAGTTTTAGCTGCTGCATTCTGAATTCACTGAATTCGCTGTAAGGTGTTGAAGGAGTGGTGTGTGCTCCCTGATAGTAGGGCATTGCGGTAGTCTAACCTGCTGTATACAGGAGCATGTATTAACTTCTCTGTGTCTTGAGTGGAGAGAAGCTGCCTTAGTTTTGCAATATTTCTTAACTGTAGGAAGCATGTTTTCGATACTGTTTTAACATGAGAGCCTTGTGTCTAATATGACGCCTAGGTTACACGCTGAGTCTTTGAGGCAAATGTTTTCATCCTCTGAGTTAAGTTATAGTAGTCCTAGCAGTATTGTTGCCTCCAAACAACAGAACCCCAGTTTTATCAGAGTTGAGTAACAAAACGTTTTCACACATCCACGTCTTTACCTCATTTATGCAATTTACTAAAGTGATAATAAATGAGTTGTCGTTGGGTGTAAACAGAATGTATGTTTGTTCAGATGTTGTTTGTCCTGTTCGGCTGCAACAGCTTTTAACGAAAGGAGACGAAATTTAGTTTTAACAAACATCTGCTGGCACAGCAGCACACTAGCTTTCCACTTGTTTCCCTTGATGTCTTAGAAGAGGGCTTCGGTTTTTTGGTTCATCTTTTTTTTTTAGCTGAGCTCTAATCCTCCATATCCTGTCAGAGTGCTGTTTAAACTACACAGCAACCATGTGGCAAAAACCTGTCCGTGTACACGCGGGGCCTTTTAAGCTCAAATGTGTTGTTGCAACCTGTTTGAGATTTTCATTTAGCTGCTTTCAATGTATTGTGGAATTTCAAAAAGGTATGATTGGCAGGCTGTAAATTCACTTCTGGATAAGTTTACCTGCTTCTGACGCAGCACACTAGAGTCGATATAAGTGCATTTGTTTAGGTGAATATGTTTTTAGTGGCCTTGGCTTTTCAAAATGTTTTTCTGCACGTACAGTTGCACACCTCCTGTGTTCTCATGCCTAATCTCCTGCTGAAAAGACATCATAGTCGTTCCTTCTTTTGTTTCTGTTACTTCTCAAGGGGTGACTGCAGAGAAATCGGAGGGGCTGCGTTTTGAGGAAAGGGCTCGATCTGTGGAGTGGGCAGTGTGGACAGCGAGCCGAGGTTTCGGAGAGGTCAGTGTGAAAGGGCGGCACACACTCCCGCAGAGAGGCGAGAGGACGAGCAGCTGCATCTCCACTCTCCGCCGGCTGTGGAGTGTTGGGTCCTACCTCCTACATAGGGATTTTTCCTACGTCCTCCGAATCAGGCAAAGCAAGAAAGGAAAACCATTAATATTTACAGAGCCTTCCATCTTAAACCCATTGAGGTGGTGTGGTACCCTCAATAACAGAGACCCCACAGCGTTCAGACGCGCAGTTCGGGATTATTACAATTCCCCCCCTCCCTCTTTGATTCTGCGAGCTCTTTGCTTTCTCTTTCCCATATTCACATCAAGTTTCTCACAACACCGTAATGCGCTGAATTATACTGCAAAATAGCTCCATTAATGTACATTAATGGAGCTTTCTTGGCCCCCCGCTGTGCCAAAGGATGTCTCATTCCAATTTAACGCATGGCTACTTTTTAGCATAGCTAAGCGGTAATTAAAATGTACACGCTAAATGCCATCCTTTGTCTTGTTGGGCTCTATGCGTTCCTTGATAAATATGCAGATAAAAAACAAAACCGTTGACAAAAAAAAGACTTTCTTGTTCACCTACAATAAGCGAGCAGTTCAATTGGTCAGAGCCCTGCTTTGATTTTTTTTTTCTGCCCCTATAAAAATGTGTACAACCATAAATCAAAGTCAGTACAGATCAAGCTTTTTTTTTTTTCTCCTGTCAGGATTCACTGTTGTGGCAGATCTCCCACCAAGCTTCTGTAAGGGCTCTTATTTTCATGCTGTTTGGTGACATTTCCATTTTTTTTGCCGTGCCCTGCTCTGGTCCTGAAATTATTCCCAGTGAGTGTCAAACACTTTGTTTGCAGCTGTTGTTCAACATGCTGCCCAGAGCAGCCATTTGCATATTTTGCTTTCGGTTGATGGCGCGTGATGCTTCTGTGCAGCGTATATTTACAATCAACTGGAAGCGCGGTTTGGCCTGGGGTCACCCACAGCCCCAGCTGGGACCGCGTCTCGGCCCCCTTTCAAGGATGATCCCAATTCGTGGGGGGGGGGCGTCCGAGCCTGAGTTTCCCCACTCAGATCCGACACCTTCAGGCGTGCTCCCCTGATGAGGCAGCGCGCTCTCCTCTGCCGGGGTTATTGTAGTGCTCAAGCACTGCTGCTGGAGCAGGAACTTTCAGAAGTGGAAGAGCTGCCTTTGAAAAACAGGGCGAATTTACCAGGCGGCGGGTATCACTGCATAAAAAAAAAGAGTCTTGGTGATAACAAGATCTTTTATATTCCAGTATATCTGCAGATGCCCCAGGTTGTGACCAGGGTCACAGTTGTGGATGTGTACCATCAGCAAGAGTCTGCAGACATGAACTGTTACTGCCCGTGTTTGAAGGTTTTAAGTCTTGTAAGTTGATACCCTGATATTCAGGGTAGTTCTGTGGAGAAGAGCTTCTAGGGGAATTAATTTGTAGGGCTAGTGTTATGGTGTTTGTCCTGGAAGGCCTTGTTATAACGTCAAACTTGCCAGTTCCTCAATACAGTCAAATTCCTTTTCAGGAATGCCTGATGTTTTGTTACTGCACGCATTGTAATGTGTTGTGTTCTCAGAAATTGTAAAGATGAAATCGCAGCAGCACTAAAAACAGTTTCATGCTGTGCTATTTCATTGGAGGTGGTTACTTCAGATCTACCTTCAAGCCTTCTGCTATAGGTGGGTTTGCTAATTTGTGTCAGAAAGTTAATTGATTCCTAATATGCTAATATGCTCCTAATATGCTGGTGATTGAAGGAGTGGATTTTTTTAAAAATAAAAAAATATTTTAGCACCATAGTAGCACCTTTATCAAAAATAATAAATTATAATAAAGAATATTGTGCTTGTATTGTTTTTAGTGATAACAAGGTTCATTTAATAATAATTGCTTACACTTAAATAGCACTATTCTGGACACTCCACTCAAAGCCCTTTACAGGTAATGGGGATCCCCTCCACCCCCACCAGTGTGCAGCCCCACCTGGATGATGCGCCAGTCCGCTCCCCACACACCAGCTGATGAAGCCAATTCATAAATGGGGATTATTATTAGTAGGCCATGATTGGTAAAGGCCAATAAGAAATTTGGCACAGAACATAGGACACAAAACATAAATGAGCACATTCAGTTATAATTAACATCTTTTTCTCATATCTTAATTAAAATGAATTTGATCAGCAATAAACACTAATGTCAGCTGCGAAAACAAAAATTAAGAACTGAAAACAAGGGGACTTGCTAATAATCTAATTTTATCTTTTGTGTCTTGGGCAACATCTTTGTATCATGTGTAGTGTTTGAAGGGATTAGAAGTGAGCTCAGCAACATGAGTCATGCCCCAGAGCCTGAAATGACAATCTGGGTGGTATCCTCTGTGCATTGAGTAATTTATTAACATTTGAACTCCTGTTTTTCCACATTTGTGTTGTAGCAATCGCCCTCCTTATTGCTCAGCTTGCACAACTCCTGTGCCCACACAATGGACAGCTTTACTTTTATGTAGCTCTGATAAACACTATTGCATGTGATCGGATTTTTTTTAAAAACAAAGTGTTGCTGTTTTACTCAAGTTAAAGACTATGCATTCTTCCGAGCCACCTGCTGGGCATGTCATGCACTACACCTCATCAGATGGCAGACACATTCCAATGCACATTACCAAAGCCCTCCTCACATTGTTTTGGAATTACTATACTAACGACAGCAGTAGATGTAGATGCTGTATTTATATTGTTTCACAGGCAGTTCTACACCATGATTCTCACTATCTATGAGACTAGCGTGTCTCAATGTTCTGTTTGTTAGAAAGTTTTGTAAAAGACCTCAAGGCGCAAGGCTTGCAATACAAATTGAAGTTATTTTGTTCTGCACAGTGCTTCCACTTTTATGCATACAATTGTAAATGAAATTCCCTTTAAAGGGGAACTGTACTGCCAGTTTCTCAGACTAGTTATTAAATCTGTCATTAGAAATATATTCCAGATTTTGGAGGTCTTTCCTCCAAAATGCAGTGCTGGAAATTGACTAGTTCTGTAGAATCTTCACAAATGAAGTTCCTGTGAAATATCCAGCTTGTCCATTAAAATACAAATCATACATTTCACTCATCTGTCAGGCTGAGAGGAACCTGATCAGAGATCCACAGAGATGCACAGAGTTCTTCGGTACAGATTTTCTGACACTGTTTTTATTATTGTTTGCACCTTGCAAAAAGTTAACATTAAAATCAAATCCTCACTTCTGGGGAAAAAATAATCTAAAGAACACAATAGTGCTACTTAATTTTCCCCGATCTTTAAAAAAAAGATGCATGAACAGGATTTTTAAATCGGCATAAACAAAAGACCAAAGAGAATAAATAAATAGGCGCTTTTCTCTGAACAGTATCAGTAACTGGCATTATGCCCTCCGGAGGAAGACTGCCCATCAGCTCTGCCACTATTCATTTCCGCCTAACAAAGACCTCTCTGAGTGAACACGAACTCCGCCACCCCCTCTAGTCCTTGAGACCTCTGCTGTGTGTCTCGTGTGGTAGCATCCTATTAATTTTCCACACTCGGGAAGTCATGATAAACACAACTATTCACAGCTTCCACACACTGATTAGGCATGCTTCAGTGGAGACAACTGTCTCCTTTAGTTCTGCCTGCAAGGACTCCTTTTTTTTTTTAATTGGTTGGAACTTAAGAGTGAAAAGTTAATTACTGTGAAGTACATGGTAGGTAAGGCCCATCCCTTTTTCCACAGAGTGTGTCACAAGGACTGCATGGCTCCGCCTGTGGGCTTGTTATAGGCCTGTAACTATGGACAGCTCAGTGCCCATCGGCACTGCGCTGAAGGAGCGAGGAAGAGGAAGGACCTGCAGCCCCTCTGCTGTCGTCCTGCTGTCTGAATTTTTACGAGTTTAAAAATAGCTGTGAAATGTGACCTGCTTTCAAGATGCGTCCAGTAAGAGTTGAGTGTACCTTCTAATTCTGACCTGTGATTCAATAGAAAAAAAAAGGTTTCTTTAACGGAAATACTTCTGTTTGTTCTTACAAACCCGGTAAACATGGCAAAGTACAACAAGATCAGCAGTCCTAATCAATATGACTATATAGCAGTAAAGAAAGATAATACTTGAACCCAAGATAAAGTATACATTGCCATTTGAAAAGGATTAATGTGTAATACAGTCTTTTTCTCCGGCTGCAAAAGAGTTAAATATTCCATGCTGGGCTTTTCTGAACAGCTCTTGCACGGTCTGAAATTCATAGATGTCACAAAATGCAGCACAGTAAAATTACCAGTGTGAGTTTCCTTTAGAGCGTGTCTGCTTTCTCCATCAGAAGAGTTACCTGTCAATAATGGGCTTTGTTTCTCTGGTATGGAGCAACCTTTCTGTGGAAAAACACTGTTAATACATACGGGAGGTGTCATGTTAAGAAAACCTCATTCATTCTTTGTGTTGCTGGCTGTCAGTTGTGGAGGAAAAACAAGCCAAGCAACTTTCCATGTTGCCCTTTAGTTTATCACCATCCACGTCGATTTCTTTCCTCCTGGAGTTTGTGGTGTGTGGCTCCAAGGAGCACCCCAAGAAAAAGGAATGTATTACTGTTTACAAAACCATACAGCGACTTATCTGGGGGCTGTCTGGAATGAAAAAAATCTGCCAGCCTGAAGCCCAGAGATGATAACACTGACGCAGGGCCTGGCTGCCGGAGAGCTCGTCTTCCTCCCCCTGCCCTCCGGCTCCAGAGGAGAGGCACGAGAAATTGAGTTTACCAGCGGTCGCCTGCTACCTCATTACATCCTGCTCTGGGAGAGAGGCCTCCTGCCACGCTGCAGCCCGAGTCCAGAGACCCCCTGTTGCTGGCGCAGTGATTACTCGCCAGCAGAGAGGGGCTGTGATCAGCGCGCCACCCGTTTAGCCGAAGGAATGACTGGGCCTGATTGGCCGAGGGGGATGGAGAGGATGGCGCCCGGGCCAGCGCTGTTGCTTCTGCCTCATTTAACCTCTGTGGCATGATGCGCCTTTACGTTTACTTGAAGGGAACTTGGCGCAGGGCTCGGCGCCCGTGGGTGCTCCTTGTTCTGCCTGCTGGTACGCTCCAGCTTATGTCGCTGTTATTTGTTTTGGAGCTGACGGGGGTCGTGCTCAAAGATTTTTGTTTTGAAAAAAGCATCCGTTGTGTTTCTGCTCGAGGGGAGAAAAAAAAACCCCTCAGGAGAGGCGGGCGGTCACAAAAACGTGGGCGTGACCTTTCGATCCAGATGTGCCGGCAGCAGCTGCTCGAGAGGTAGAAGCCATCCAGATGTTTTCCGATCGGTCATCTTGGCACGGCTGCAGCTCACTAGCTGTGGGTGCTCGGGGGTCTCCGTGAGCTCGGAGGCTCCCTCCCCCAATTCCTCTCACCCAGCCTCTCAAGCCCGGCTCGCCTCAGATCATGAAACGCAGCCGAGCAGCCCCAGAGAGTGATTTTCCTTCAATAACCCGGGCCAAGTGGGCTCAGAACATGAGATCATGCAGTGTGGGATTTATTAAGGCCTGCCTGTGGCTATAGTACCCTGAAAATGTCCCATCGCATCTCGGCCCTGCAAAGCAGATGTTACTACTTAACTCTTGAGGAGGTTTGAGATGCCCACACGGGATACCTGTGGCCATTTCTTTTCATCTCCGTCTCGGACCGACGTGAGTTTTTCGTGATTTTAGGGCGTTTGAATGTATGTACAGTGCGGGTCATCGTTCATAAATACTTCAAGGGCCCGTCCTCGCTCAGTCATGAGGAAGTGTGCTGCATTTAACCCCGCGTCTTCTGAGCCATCCTCAGAAAATGAGACCTATTTCAAACTGAAAAAATGGGATTCTGACAGCAGGGTTGGTGGATGCTCTCCTGCTGATCTACATGTGTAATCAGTGTATAAAAATGACTCTTGCAGTTCCAGTCATATTCTGGCAAATTCCCAACCCGGTTTGCACCTCGTTTTTGGTTTATGATGATTGCCTTACTCTGTACAGAAGACTTCAGTCAAACCACCACTCTCCAATAACTTTTTCGTTAATGCCAAAGCTACAGGACATTTCACTTGTTCCTTTCATTTTCAGCTGTTTTTTTTCCCACTTACATAAACATGGTAAGCAGAAGTGACTTCCTTTGTGAAATACTTGTGAAACACAAGACCAAGTCACTTAAAATACTATGAAGTCATTGTGGTTCTGAAAAACCATCCCTTGTGTGTGTCTGTTGTTTCAATCAGCATAGTGCAATTTCAGAATAAGCTAATGCAACAACAATTAAAACAGTTTGACTGCAGGGTTTATGCTGGTATGCAACAACTAATTGTGCATCGCAACAAATCTACATTGCCAATTTGATACTGTAATAAAAAATAACCACAAGGTGTGTAAACATTATACCTTGATAGAGTAATAAATAAACCAGGATATAGTTTTAATGTGTGTTAAATTATTGATAATGCGCCGTTCATCTACAGTAGTGTTTTTTAAAAATAAATAAAACAGGTTTCTGAAAATGAGCCTGTGAATCGGCTTCTGTCTTTTGGGCTTGGCTGTTCATGTCCCATGCTGATTGGAAACAAACAAGCAAATAATGAGAAGCAGAAGGCATGTAAATACGCCTATAGATTTTTATTTCACTTCATATTTGCGGGGCTCTCCAGGCTGGGGATACACTGCAGCCTGGCTCTTTCTCTTTGAAGCTGGTGTGCTGCTAGTAAATAATTTATCTCCCGGGCTCAGCGGAGACAGAAGTGCTGCATAACAAGTGAATCCCAGGAGCGGCCACATTTCCTGGGGAGGGAGGGGCAGCTTGGAGCAGTGTGTAATTAAATGCAAAGGGAGAGGGGGAAAAAAAACTCACAGAACGGGTCTTCACAGCAGCAAGGGAGCAGGAGGGGTGTGTAGGGAAGGGTGGGGAGGGGGGGCAGCTGACGCAGGAGAGTCTGAGAACAGAGAAGGAGGCTGAGGGGAGAGGGGAATGAATTCTCATTTCATACATCAACCGGCAGGAAACAAACAAACAAAAAAAGACCCCATGACTTCGTGAGGGAGCGTTGTCTTTTCGCTGGAGGTTTGGGGAATTTTTTCGAAGGCAAAGTCCAAGGCAGTCCATGTGGGCATGGTGGGGTTTTTTCTTTTCATGGCTTTCTCTGCAGAGCCATAGACATGAAGACCCCAGCCCACCCCCCAACACACACACACACACCTCCCTCCAAAGACTGCCCCCTCCCCCCTCCTCCTCCCCCACTTGCCTCAAACTGCCTCCTCGCAGTTACTCCCAGAGTAATCCCTTTGTCAGGGAGCAGAGTTGTTGAACAAATCATTAAAACCTCACCGCTAATTAAGCTAATCAGCTTGTGCCGTATTTGTATCCAAATATGCAAATGAGGCTAATTATGCCTCCCCTGATGAAAGCCACTGGCTCTGAGGCACGTGCTATCTGGAGGAAGTGCTCAGGAATTTCGCTAACTAGACTGCTCTTACATGGCTTTGATTAGTACAGTACAGCAGCAGTGTGGACAGCTTACTTCTCTCTGGAGCCCTGATCACCACGAATCTACCCCAAAAAGCACTGTTTTTAACCCATGGAAAAATACAGACTTACTGAGAGGGTTAGAGGGTTATTTTTTTTAATTTCTGATATTTAAAAACAATTAAAAAGATCTTAGTTGTAGAACATGCACACTATGCTGGGATTGAATGTTTTAACAACATTTTTTTTTTCCTTTGGTGAAGGAAAAGGAAGGAAAACATGCGCACAAAAACATAAAAGGCAATTTTTAAGGATTTAAAATTATTAAGGATAATTTAAGGATTTTAAGCTGATGTGTTGATGTTTTGCAAAGGATTGGAAAGGCAAAGCAAATCTAAAGCAAATCAAATCCTTTCCATTTGCTGTGAAGCAGAATCAGGTGTGTACGGACATGTGAAATTAGTTTTTTTTTAAATTAATTTGGATTTTTGTTTTTCATGGTAGGATTGCTTAAGGGGGAACTGCAAAGCTATTTTTATATTTCAGGGTGAGAAAGATGAGCACTTTTCAGACCACAATGTAAAATGTACACAGTAATGTAAAACCTGCGATTTACGTCACAAAATAGACAATATTTCCCAGCATGCGCAGCGCCATATTCTGCAATCCAGAACGAGGCATCCAGACTTCCAGTGACGTGACACGGCCCTGTGAACACATCTCTTTTAATCCAATAGAAAGATTGCTCTCGACTTCCAGACACTTTTGCTGAAAAATGCTTAACTCTGCATCCAGATCACGTTGGAACATTTCTGTGGTGAAATGTCTCCTGCACGTCCTGTACTTATTCACTAGTACATCAGAGTACAGTACATTACAGTGCAGTACCAGGAAGGGCGAGTTTTACACCACAATCCTCGTGAACTCTTGCTCTCGCCAGTGGTGGAGACCGTATAGTACTTTCACAGAGTTCACGATTTTGAACTTTGAGGTTTAATAATCGGTTTGAGAAATCAGGTTCCCCTCTAACAGAAACTAAGAGAATGGGCCTACAAACAGTATCTGCCAGATTCTGTTTTTAAAAAGGCCCTCGCTGGACTGTTTGGGCCTGGTGATGGTCTATCCCAACTGTGATTATAGAAATTAGATGTTACAAACTGGGGCAGAACTTCTCTGTTAATGACTTGTCCATCTGCAATAAGGCTGCCAAGACCGTGTGGTAAGTATTCCATTTTTTGCATGGAAACAATTATTAGTAATAAATAAGAGGACTGTCTGTATGGCAGTGAGATTAGATGATGGTCAGAAAAGATTGAGCAAAAACAGGTCCTGTTTAACTTACAAGCTCTTTGAAAATACAGTAGTAGTAAAGAATATAATAATTATAATTGGTTACATTTATATAGCGCTTTTTTCTGGACACTCCACTCAAAGAGCTTTACAGGTAATGGGGATCCCCTCCACCACCACCAGTGTGCAGCATTGGATCTAGAGTGTATGGAATGGCAAATTTAGATTTTTTTAGTTGTCTTTTGATAAGGTTTCGTACAAAAGACTTAAGTAAATCACCAGCAGCACTTGAGGTAATGCAAGCATTTGTTTTAAGCACTGTTTCATGGAAGGAAAACTGCACAGATGAATGGTGAATGCTCAGATTGAGGTGATGTCATCAGTGGAGTGGATGTGTAGGAGAACTGCTGCTGCTCTTGATTTGCATCAATGATGACGTGTAAAGAAACAGGCAGACAGGTTATTGGGATATCTGGCTAAGAGTATGAGTATCTATGAATTGGCTTCATTACTCTGCTCTCCTCCCCACTGATAGCTGGTGTGTGGGGGGCATTCTGGCGCACTATGGCTGCCAACGCATCATCCAGGTGGGGGCTGCACACTGGTGGTGTTGGAGGGGATCCCCATTACCTGTAAAGCGCTTTGAGTGGAGTGTCCAGAAAAGCGCTATATAAGTGTAAGCAATTATTAATTATTATTAAGAGTAGTGTTTAAATCCAGGGATGAGATATAATACAGTGAGCTAGTAAGACCCCAGTTTTGCAATTCTGAACAATTTCTATCTCCGCCTAACAGGGAATGCAGCTCAGACATCAGACCATAGAAGAGCAACCAGGTACAGTACATTTCCCAGGCGTCACTTTCTTTACACCAAGGGTTGTGGGAGTATGGGGCAAGCTACCCAACTAGATGAGATGCTGTGCTAGACAAATGGTCTCCTTGTGTGTGGTGGAACGTTTCTGCTGCCTCTTTCTTTTCCCAGTGATCCACCTACTTACTGCTCCTGTTAGCTAAAGGTGAGATTCTGTCTTGAGTGTTTTTTTTAACAGACAGGTATATCTTCAGAGCTTCAGGGGAGGTTTCTCGAGAGCTAAAAAGGGAATAGGGGAAGAAAGAGAAGGGCAGCCTGGGTTTCAGGTAACTTCAGAATTTGTCAGTCTCTCTGGACAATATCGTTACTGCTAATATTTTCTAGTACCCTTTTTCAATTATACTGATATATTTTTTAAATGAAATAACCCCCCAAACATATATATAGTTAAATTTAAAACAGAGATCACTTCAAACCTGAACTTCATTTCTGTTTAAAACAATTCTTTAAAAAAATTGTAGAACTCTTAATTTCGCTCCATTATTTTTATCTGCAGAGAAAGCCAAGCGGTTCCTTATTCCTTATCGAAAATGCCGTGCGCCACCTTGTGTTGTTTCTACGCAATTACAAAGAATTATCTTAAACCCCGTCGTACATTTCATGTGAAATCCACTTCTGGGGCATCGGAAAAGACGTTTTAAAGGTGATTTTTGATGTTTGTTATAAAAACAGAAATAATTTCATTTATTAAAAGCAGATAAATAAAAACAAATGGATCAATTAAAGCCCGAATTAAAAAGGAAAAAATTGCAACCGAATATTTCAAAACATGTTGTATAAAACATATGTAGCCAGATTTATTATTGAAAGATTCCCAGCCATTTTTTATCATTAGCCAAAATCTTTAATTGATAGCCTACGTGATATGCGAAAGTCTTTATAAATAACCATGGCCAGGGGAAAGTTTATTTGAACAAATACGGAGATTGTATGGAGTGAGACGCGCTTGGTTTTGTAAATTCTGAGGTTTTTATTTTTACCGATGTAAAAATAGTGTGGAATTACGAAGGATAAGGAAAGCGTCGCGTCTCTTATGGTAGCCATTATTAAAATTAGCTTAAAGGGGCGCTAGGGAGAGTTACAGTATGCGCACGTCCCTAGTGCCGTTGGTAACTTGTTCTCTAGTGAGAGAGGTTGTCTCTCTATTTCCGTACCCTCCCTTGACCGCACGTCCCCGCTGTCCCCATCACCCGGGACTCCGGCGACGCCGCCGTCTGGGCCTCCGGTAGTGTGTCTCCGGCGCTCGTCTGCCCGCCCGACGGCTCATTTGTCTTCTTCTTTTCCCCAGTTGACGAGGATGACTATGGATCGTGCGGGTGAGACGAATAAAAACAAGTTGAGAAGCTAATTAGGATTCACACAGGTGAGCAGCTCCCTAGGTGAGAGGCTTTACTGTTCAAGACACGCCTGTCTACTAGCATCAGGGATGCGCTTTTATGATTTGTTATACGAGAAAGCATTACTCTTATTGTTTTACTGTTCTTTGAAAGGATTTATGTTTAATATAATAAACATTGCACGAAGCACTAAAACCATTTAATCTTGCAGTTGATAAGAAGAGCTGAATTAGTTTCCTAAGGTTGCCAAGCATGGTGGCTTATGAAGGGACAACAGTTGGTTTTTAAATTATTACGGTTGTTTGCATTACAAATACACACGTTTAAATAATCGCGTCTGTCATATGAGATGCAGAAATCTAAAAATTGGAAAATTAACCACCTCAGATATTTTCCAGAATAAAATAGTAGTCATGTTTTTATATTCTAAAAACGATACATGGAGTTTGTGTATTACCCAGTCGTTCAGGATTTATAATTTATGGATGTCCTGTTACATGAGTCCTCTTACATGTACATGAATACAGTATATTTGTTTGTAACTTGCAAGGTCATCTGCTCAGCAGATATTGCCAGGAACAAGAGTATTTTAGCGTTTGAAATCCTTGATTTCACATCCTCTCGTTCAGACGCTCTTTGACATCTCAGTGCATTCAGAGAGGAGACGAGCAGTGTTGTGTGACATTGTGATGCTCATCTTCTGCCTTGACAACCCCTCCCGTTAGAGAATTCTGTTCCTGTCTCGGTCCCACGAGCAGTGATCTGTCTTCACGGCTCCAGCAGCACATGACTGAATGGCAGGAGGCTTGTGGTGTGTGAACCACCATTCCAGAGGGGGTAATATGAGAGGTGGCATTAGCAGGTAATGGGCTCTAGCACGGCTGCCTGAATGAACAGACCAGCGCAGCTCATTAGGAGCCAGTTACCCCAGTTAATCCAACCCGCTGCCACCACTGGGACCTGTCTCACCGAAGAGCCAGGGCTCACGCCGACTGGTTTACATGAAGCAAGGGCGTTAGGGTTGAAACCAGGGTTAGTTCCAGGCTTCTGCCAAATCAGTATAACCTAAATTGTACACATTCGACTGGCCAATCATTTTCCCAGTTCCGATCACTAGTCTTCTCTCATATCTCTTCTCACACTTTGGTATTCAGCTTTTGAAAATTGACATATGTATATTATATATATATATACACACATTTATATGTTTTGTTCACATTATTTTTTAGATTCTCATCGACGATGGTGAGCGGGAGACCAAGCTCTGTAGTGTCCCACAGGATTTGAACCCACAACCCTCCAGGTCAGACCCCAGAGTTCTAGCTACATTTCACTGTTTTTTTCACCAATCTGTTAAACCCATGATTTAGTCATTGTGCAGGAATGTCATTAAGTTTGTGCCCCTCAGAGGTTCTTCTTTTCACTTAGAGATGAAGGAAAGCATGCACTGGTTTACTGGTTTGGGCCCAGATATTGCTTTTGAGCTTCTGGCCTCGAGACCTTTTACCTGTTCTTTCCCCTGGTTTTGGGATTCCAAATTAACACCATCTTGAAGACACTGATAAAGATTTATTACTTCTGTCCTTTTTTTTTGTACTGTAGTCCAGGGTTCTTTGGCATGAATGAATAATCAAAGCTTATGGAGGCCCTCTGGTGTTCACTAGTTTGCATTGGAAAGTATATTTGCATTAAACTGAAACTGCCTTACTTGCACCCATACAACACAGCACCAGACAGTAACACACAACAGTATACTGTGGATTTTCATTGCACCTGTGAAGGCAAACAGGTAATTGAGGTTATAAAGGTGAGATACAAAAATGCATGTGATGAAATTTAAGAATTCAACTTGAGGGGGTTGTGCAAGACCTGTCAAAGCTTTCAGCTTCATGTCACGCTCCAAGAGTTGTCTGCATTCTGTATTAAAAATCACACACACCTTAACCGTATAACCCAAATAATTTCACAGAAAATAGCCCGGTAATACTTTTAAATCATTTATTTCATATAATTTTATACAATTAAAAACTTTGTCATGTCCTTCCCAAAACATACATTATCCCAGAGATACATTGACATTTCATTTTTGTTACTATCCCAATATAATCACAAACACATTACAGACATTAATGCAAGTAACTTTTACAGTGTGAAAAAAAATTCACCATTTAGGTACTCAAGGTAAGTCTACATAATATATTCCAGAAAACTATTTGCATAAATTTGTTTAAATATACAACGGATACTACAGTTAGGTCCATGGTCATAAAAACTGTCCTTGGGGACAAGGGACAAACTTCGTTCCAGCCTTTTGTTCCAAGTACAGCTAAAAAAAATACTCCCATCACAGAAAACATCTGAAGATCAAAATTTACTCAAAAATAAATTAAATGGAATAAGTAGTCCTTCGATGCCCATACACTAGACATGCAAGCAGAATATAGGAAGTGTTTTATATTTAAAGTGCACCACATTCTGGACACTACTGAAATGTGTGAATAAAAAGCAGAGTTGGTTCCGATATATTCCTTTCTCAGTAGGGAATCTGGTTTTGGTAGTACTGGATCATGTCGTAGGTTTTACTCCTAAAAAAGCAGGAGAGAAAAACATGAGATATTTGGTTGCTGAAGGATGTGGACACTATATTACCTTTGCAGTGCACTAAGAGGGGCTGCGAGTGTCTAAGCGGTTTAGCATGCTGATAGAGAAAGTAGGTGCATCACTCCAAGGGCTCATGTAAAGGGCAGTGCTGGGAAACTGGATAAAGCTCAATGATGAGAAAAAATTAAACCCGACACCCACAAAACATTCAAAACGAATGCTACCAGACAAAGCAATTCACAGCCATTTTTACAGAACAACTACAGAGAGGAGCTACCCGTCTACAGAAGTGTGGGAAATTCAGATGTGAGAAGAAAGATCTCGCACAGCTACACTCAGAAGGCTAAAAACAAAACAGACCAAAGCTCACCTGCTACTGAGGAAGCAGCTCTGAATGACTTTGATAATGAAGGCAGCAGCCTCCTTTTCACTCATACTGGGGTTGAACCTTTGCCTGGAGAGAAAAACCATGGTTAATCTCAAGACTCCTCACAAAAACAGCATCCATAATCTGCAAAGGACACAATGTTGGTTCTACTGCCTTTGACTCTCTCCTCAGCCTCTTCTGCAGGTTTCAGATGACCTACTCTAAGAGTTGAGATAAAGGTAGGGCTCAGAAAGTGTCACATTTCATGTGCGAGCTCCATCTTACTTGAGTAATTTTATTGTTTGTCCGCGGAAGCAAGGCAGGCCTGTATCCAGCATCAGGGTCACCAGAGACACAACAGCCTCCATGTAGGGCCTGCAGGGCAGCACAGAGGAGAGACACGGAGAGATAGAGGTATTAATAAAGCCACTGACACCTCCATGCGGTACAGAGAATAAACACACATACACTATGCCATCCCTGCTTTCACACCTCTTATATTCGTTAACTTCAGGCCAGAACGTGCAAAGTTAAACATTTCAGCCACATCTCATCCCACCAATAATGCTGCCAGGGTGGGAGCTGACATTTAATAATGCAGGCATTTCTTCTCAAGGTGAGAAAAGCAAGTTAAATTAAACAGGAAAAAATTATTAGCACAGGCACGTCGTTTGTATTTACCCCTCCCTCTGCCTGCAGGTTCGCAAGCTTGCTTTGAGATCGGTTGAAAACTGGACCAGAGCAAAGCCCTCCCCAGCGCCCCCTGCTGGCCCCATCTCCCCTTGCACTCACCGCACGGCCAGGTACCCCCGGACACACATCTCCATGAACCACTTGAAGGGGGTTGCCTCCATCTTGCCCCCCATGATCATCACCATCTCATCGGTCAGCTTGATGTCCGGCTCCCAGCCCAGGTTTCCTCCGGGCGAGCTCTCGAACATGAACCCGAAGTCTAGGGGTCAAGCCAGCACAAAAAAACAAATCAGAAATTCAGACCTTGCTGCACAACAGACAGTGTGCGGAGGAGTTTGTGTGTGAAGCGATGAATGAAAAGGTGAACCCAGCGTGTCCTGTGCTCTCAGGGGCCGGGAACTGGCTAGACCTCTATACCTTTCTCACTGAGACTCTGTGCCTTGGCAAATTTTGACCTTGCTTTCATTTTCTCAGGTACAAAATTTCTTCCTGTAAATGTTAAGATAGCACAAAAAAAATGTCCTAAATCATCACTCTTTGTGTTAATGATAGCTTTGCATGATTTGAATTCTGAAAATAAATGTTTTATTGACAACCATAGTAAAGTTGTAAACTTGAACTGTGTGATATTTTAAAGGTGGTCTGAATTGTGTGTGTGTGAGTGATGAAGTCCACTGCAAGACTCTGTCCCTTTCTGGAAAGTAATTCCACAACCGATACTCCGGTGGGCAAGCTGGTAACTGACCGATGTGAATGAGGTGACCCTTGCTGTCCAGCATGATGTTTCCGTTGTGCCGGTCCTTGATCTGCAGCAGGAACAGGAGCAGGCTGTAGGCGGCCATGCTGCGGATGAAGTTGTAGCGAGCCTGGAGCAGGAGACAGCAGAACAGGTGGAAACTCCCCAGGGAATCGCACATCTGGGCCACATTCCTTTCCCTAACCCAGCCATTCATCAATACCAACATCCTTTCTGCTCGGCCTTTTGCACGGAAAAAAACACTGCCAGACAGAAGCCATAAATGAATGTCTAGTTTAAGCAACATCTTCATATTCAGCACCTTGAACAATCTGAGACTTCAGCAGAAAACCTAGTCTTTACAGCACTTAATTCAACCTAAACTGGTCAACAAAGACATGCAAGAAGGGCGCTGTCAAGACAGGAAAGCAAATCCATTAAAATTCCTGGACGCTGTTAAAGCTGCCCTCTGGAGCAGCTGGGTGAACCTTCCTGTTGTATTTACCTTCTGGAAAGCAAGCGTGGACTCGTCTCCATACTGGTTCCTGAAATAATCATACATTCCGAAATCCGTCTGTCTGCCCAGCTGATCCCGGGACTTGCAGTCTGGAATGCACTCAATCACGCCACACTGTTTCACAGGAGAGGAAAAAGAATGAGGCCATGTTAGTTATTTCATTTAACACAATACGTTATGAGGGAAAGGAAAAAAAAAACACTGATACATTTATCAGTAGTGTAATATGCTGCTATATGCCCACCAGGCAAAACAAGTTTCTTTTTTTTGTTTGTTTAATTTAATTAATAAAAGACAACACACTTGCATTGCAGATTGTCTAAAGGGAAAGTTAGTAATTTACATTTCCATTAATTTTATATTCAATTCAATATTGCATCACAGAAGAAGGTGATTATCTACAGCTTGCATTCATAATGCCAGAAGGACAAAAATGTAATTACAAAACATCCTATCCACAAGCACAGTGTGAACCCACAAGACTCCAAAGTCTCTAGCCTGAATTCTGGTTTTGGGCAGATAGAATGCAAATCCTGAAATGCATAATCAGGACTTTAACTATAATTAATAAAGTGAGAATTCTCCAACTCTGAGATGAGCAAAAGCAATAACTAAATACGAGAGTACAATATGCACAGTGTGTTTTGATCTTAAGTCTTTAATTTCATGGTTAGGAAAAGGATTATTGGAGGCCATTAGCTGATTCAATATGAATCAATATGAAAGCTTAAGGAGAGGTACAATATATTACAGAACTGGACAGAAGATGTCACTATTAAAAGCAAACCTGACTCCGACACAATGGAGCTGCACATACAGAACGGGAAACTTCTAAAAAACACCTTCCCCCCACTGTATCTTCCAAATAAAAAAAATACTGCAAGAACAGATGTTGAGTGCTGACTTTACACAGAGCAGATCATAGTGTTGGATCAAACATAAATACCAGAGTTTATAGAAAACATTTTTCACCATATGTTGGAAATATAACACTGGTTTAATTTTTTTGTAAAAAAAAAAGTAAAACAAACAGAACTTGCAGAGAAAGAGCATGTGGAATTCTTGCCTGTATTTGTGACCCCTGACCCTGAACACATCAAAGACATTCCACACTGGGTGTTTCGTACATGTGCCCATTTGCACGTGGTAGTTTCACATCTTGCAGAAATTTCCCAGCACTCTTTCCATTACATCTCATCATGCTTCTACCACTCCTCCGGCCTTGCAAGACTAACGCTTTCACTCACCCCAGGGGCTGTAGCCACCACTCTGTAGGGGAACACAAACAGGTCCAGACCCACCAGCTGGAAGATGTTCTTGAACAACCCAATGATCTGCAGGGCTAACATGTCCTGCAAAGGGAAATGAAACAGAAGAAATGTAAAAACAAATCCATGACCGACAAGAAGTTCATTTTCGCCCAATAGAAGTCTCATGCCCAAAGCACAGGCTGAACTCTCCAATCTAGGCAATGTGGGTTCAAGCTTGGGTTGTGTCACGAGTGACGATTCCTCACGGAAAATCCTGGTCATAGAGGGCTTATGGGACACTGGGATTAGTTGCCCAGGGCTCTTTCAGCTCCTGGTAACGGCTCTTGTTAGATGGCCAGGGCACTTTTGGTACAGTGCTGTTGGCGAGAGAGGCACTGATCCTCGAAGCACAGGGCTGGAGTGCCTGTGGCTTGTTAAGAAGCAAGAGACCCAATGGGCAGGTCCAAGAGGTCCACCTTCACTGCCTCATTCTCCCGTGTGCAGTTGCAGGGTTCATAGACGGGAGCCACAATGTGGAAAATGCACGGTTGGTGATTCCAAAACCAAGTGGGTACAGTATACCCAAAATAACTGTCCTTAAACAACCTGCCCCTCCCTGCCTGCCTGCTGCTAAACTGTGCATTAACTGTCCACCGACAGCCCACGCACTGCAGCAAGTCCATCAACAGGATAATCCAAGCGTGTTAAATTAAAACAGTTTTAAGTCACACGTGCATGAATCCCACCAGACTCATACCTGTCGGCAGTCATCACCAACTTTAAAGATGGCTGCCTGCCAGCAGATTCGCCGACTCCCTTCTCCAGTCTCATCAGCCTCGTCGATCGAGTCCGACCGGCAGCGCAGTCCTGGGCCAGAGGACAAAGGAACATTGCTTTCCCAAAATCTCAAAAGGTGGAAGCAAAAAAGGACTAGAGGACAGGCACCTGTGACAGTGATGCATGGCCATTCTACTTGTACAGCATGAATGTTCAGCACAGAGTTGGTCAAAACGGAAGTTCAATATTTCTGCATTGCTCACAGGTATTGACAAATCAGCCCATCAGTTAACAACCCCAGGTCAGTATTGAGGTTAAATCTCGTGACGTTTGTGGATTTGACAAATACACATTGGCCCACAATGTGACTTAGTTAAAGGCACTGATGCCAGTCACCTACCTTCTTTCTCCAGCTCACTGACACCACAGCGCTTCACTTTGAACTTTGCGAGGTAAGGGGCCTTAGCAGCGCTGAAAGAGTACAAAAACAATATGTATGCACACTTCTTGAGAGTATTTTGTGCTTCACATTCACAGCTTTAAATGCAATACAGCAGAAGCATCTACAGTCAGTGTTTTCTCTGAGGCCAGTGACGGTTTCACAGCCATCATGTCACAACGCAGAGCGCTTGGAGACAGTGGGGTAGGAGCTCCGTACCTCTGCATGGGAGTTCCAGACTTGTAGTCGATGTCTAAAACGATGGCTTCGGGATTGCTAGGCAAATAGCAGCCTGCGAAAACACAAGCCGGAGCGTTTCAATCCAAATTACGGCCTGTGTGATGCTTTCTAGACACCAGAGTACAACATTAAAGTTAATATTTTAATGGGTTAGTCTGAACCGCTGTTTTACCAGCCACTAATGCTGGACTACATCACTCGCCACTCACTAACGCCAGAGTGACTAGCTCATAGTGGATTTCCACTGGGGGAAATCGGACCCTCCTGGCTAACAGGAAGCTGCCCGGAGGTGAAGTCTGGAACTAGGGGCGAAGGGGGTGGAAATCTTTTTTACAATCCAAGGCAAAGAAAATGAAGAAATACATCAAAGATAGTAAAAATCATCCTTCTATGATCAGTTTGGAAATGACACATAGATTTAGCTTTATCACAGATTTTTGGATTCAGCTCCAGTTTAAAAGAATAAGTTGTTTAAATCACTAAGAGCAAGACTGTTGAACATTCTTAATGAGGACGCATTTAATAGTAAACTTGTGACATTTATGACACTATAGACACTATGCGATTTTAATAGGATGTTACCAGGCTGGACTTTAATCTCAGACAGAGCTTTCAGACAGGCTCTCTTTCTCTCCTCTCCTTTAGGGGAAGGCCTAGAAAAACAGAATTAAAAGTCAGAAATTAAGGTGTGTTACTCGGTAACTGGGCACAATTAAGTCGTTACCAACATGATATAAGTGTGCACCTTTTGCATGATTTTGACTTGCATCCCATTTGCTATTCCACAACGACAGCACAATGGTAAACTAAAGTACTTAAGTGAGATCGGGTTTACATTTCAATACATGTATATAAAGATATAACTCAAAGCACTGACAGAAAAATCAGAGGGAGTAAAATTCAACAGCATGAGTGCTTTGTTGTTTGGTTTGAAGTTTTCCACAAGATTGCATCGCATAAACTCAAATTATTGCTCTAATGAGGCAAGTGGCGCTGTAATTACACCTGTGGGATTAAGTCAGGCAACTCAAAAGCATCTCTTTATCTGGCTTAATCAGGCCTGTCAAAACGGGTCTAATCACGGCTCTGTAAACTGGTACCAGCATCTCTGCAGCTCACACGCACTGCTCTTCAAGGGGTTAGAAGACAATTGCTAAAAAGCACCTTGTCTGAGAAAAATTACCCAAAAAGTTCCAGGAAAAGAAAACAAATCTCTAACAGCCAGCGGCAGGGTTTTCTACCAATACAAGTAACGGGTAACATTAAAGGAATGTATGAAATGTCTGCATAAAAAAGACATTGAAGTCATTTGTTTGTTTTTGTTTTCACTCCATTTCCTGTACACCCCATGAAACCAGGACTCATTTAAAATCCCACCCCAGTCTGGGGTTAAATCCCACTCTCGCTTGCATTTCTGTTTTTGTGTAAAAAGAAAGAAGTGCTGCTGTATTGTGCGTATGCTTCCAACAATTGTAAAGTAACACAAAAAGGTTTTCATTGTTGAAATCCCATTTATACAAGCAGCAGGACTAAGCCACTAGGCTTAGAAGTCACTAGGCCAGAAGCACAGATCCAGAGTTCATCAAGTTTCTACTTACAGGTCTTTCACGCCCTGACGAGCCCTAAAGGGTTACTGTAGGAGTCCAGGACTACTGCAGGAGACAATCTGAGTGCTAATTGAAGCTGACCTCTGGGCGATCTGATCTAGCCAAGTGAACTCTGATAACACCGGGCACCACGTTTAAGAACATTTTCCAAACAGCCGAGCCGTCCTTCTGGTTTCAAACTATGCAGCGCCATCCCAGAATCCACCTTGATCGCCTGAGGGAGCCTTGGCGCGCAGGCGTGGCCTCGGGACAAGCAAGGGCGAGCTCGTGCCCTGTGTCCTCACTAGTGGCATCACTGGGGAGTACAACAATACTACCAGGCATGACGAAGACGCACTGTTAAGGGTTGTGGCAACGGCCCAGAGGATTACTGGATGTGATTTACCACCACTCGGTGAGATTCACAAGATCCACTGTGGCAATGAAGCCCAGTCCATCATTCAGGGTCCCAACTATCCCAGCCAAAAAATCTGTCCTCCTCCCACGTTCTGGCAAGCAGTACCGCACTATTAAAGCACGGACCACCAGGCTTAAGAACAGCTGCTACCCTACTGCGTCCTCGACAGCTACTTGCAACATCTCAGACTCGATGCACGTCTGCACATTTTGCATGGTCTACCATGTTTTTCTTTTCCCCACTACTGCATATTTATTATTATCTGCAACATATTTATTGTTCTGGCTGTTATGAGTTCTTATGTTTGTGATGTACTGTCTCCATTGGTGGTGGCTGCTGTACTGTGCATGTCCTGAGCAATCGGCGTCATTAAGAATTCCAGTGTACATAAGGCAATAAACTCCTCTACTACTGTGTCGTTACACAGTCATGCGTTTAGCCTCGGCCTTGAATGCAATGCTCTGTTCTAGAAGACGCAGCTACCCGAGAAGGCCGAGTCTTTCTACCTCGGCACATAAGCAATCCTGTCAGGTAAACTGTTTCTATTCTATTTTCATTTCATTCAGTTTTGTATAATTAATAATAATAGCTTACACTTATATAGCGCTTTTCTGGACACCCCACTCAAAGCGCTTTACAGGTAATGGGGATCCCCTCCACCACCACCAGTGTGCAGCCCCACCTGGATGATGCGACTGCAGCCATAGTGCGCCAGTACACTCACCCCACACCAGCTCTCAGTGGGGAGGAGAGCAGAGTGATGAAGCCAGTTCAGAGATGGGGATTATTAGGAGGCCATGATTGGTAGAGGCCAATAGGAAATTTGGCCGGGACGCTGGGGTTACACCCCTACCCATTTTGAGAAACACCCTGGGATTTTTATATATACAGTAGGTAGGGCAGAATAGATGTATACACATATACACGTAGACGTATACAGGTTTCTCCAATGCACGTCGGATCCCGTATTCCCCGCGTTGGACAAGGGCCTACTATACTGTATTTCCAATTTCGCGGCAAGGAGTTCACTCCCGTACTTGATGATAGCGGAGACGTTGGTGATCTTATTAAAGAAATCAAACTCCCTCTGGTAGAAGTCCTTGGCTGGGCCAGACAGGGATCCAGTGATCTCTTCCACCAGCTGCTCCAGCAGATCCCCAATGTCGGCTGCAGAGAAAAGAAATGGGATCAGGGGGGAAAAAAAAGGACATTTCGACAAACAACGCCAAAAAACAGACCCAGGGACCACAGCCTCGTTCCTTTAAGCCCCATTGAAATCCTCCGTTCTTTCAGACCAGTTTAGCTTTTGTTTAGGCTTTTTGCTGTCTAGAAACTTTTTTCTTCAGGCAAACCTGCTCATCTCTGAAGCAAGCAAATGATCCAAGCAATAACTAACCTTTTAATTTACATTAGGGTAAGAATAAAGGATTGTGCACTGCAGGGGAGCTGTGAGTGAGACGTTTCCAACGTACGGTCTTTCTGATGTCCTTCCTCATCCAGGTAGATGTTGGTCTTCATGTTCCAGATGAACTGGTGGGCCAGGAGCTGGGATTTGGCTGCTGCCCACAGAATGTACTCCCTGATGTAGCCCATCTGCAGGAGCCACACAGAGAGATCAGACACGAAACACATTCGTCCGGTGCAAGAAGAAACACTCCTGTTTGCTGTTCCCTTTGGATCAATACGGAGTCTGTCCTCGTTTTCCACTGGAAAGCGCAGGAGACCTTTTAAAGGGCTTTTCTTAATTACCACCCGCACACTGAAATCCAATCCTCGCACATTTAAGCAAGTTTAACTTGCCAGTTTAAACATAAAAAATGAAGAGTAAATCAGCGTTCAAACAACATTAAAATGAATGAATCAGACTAAACACAAATCATTGTAAAATGTAGATTTTTCACCTTGTCATACCGGAGAGATTGGACAATTTGGGGAATGTAGAATAAAATAGCATCCTGTCAAAAAAAGAATTTGTTAATACAATTTCTCAAATAATGAGTAAACAAAGTTCAAAACATCCATTGTCTTAAAGACTGCAACTATCCTCTGCCTTTTTATAATCATTACACCCAGGGATTAATTAAGAACAGACTAATTAGACTAAAAGTCCTAATTACTAACAATTAGTAACAGTGAACCACAGTGAGACATGACTAAATGAACCACTTATAACAATTTCTAATTAATTTAAATCACGACTAGAACCCTTTTTTACCTCAAAAATAAAAATAATTGTGAAGTGTGTGAGGGTCTCAAAATTGTTGACTAAATATTCTGGGAGCCAAAAATCTCCACGAAAGCTGTGAAATAAACCAAGAGTGGCTTCCTTATACACAGAATCTACACAATAAGTTGCCTGCACTGTGCACAATGTTTAACGTTTCAGTTGTGATTTCTTCTGGAATAAGCGTAGGTAACAGCAAATTTGCACTAAACAAATTGCATCTAAACGTCTACGTGCAGTTAAAGTGAAGAGGAAACTACCTGGAAGTGCACTAGAAGCTGAATACAGGAGACACGTCTTTACCCAGAGGGTTGTAAGAGTGTGGAACAAACTACCCAGCCCATACGCTGGCTTCTTTAAAGAAACAGCTAGATGAGATCCTAGGATGAATTAACATTTACCAAATGGGCTACATAGTGGTCTCCTCTGGTTTGTGATCTGTCTTATGTTATCACATTTCGCTACACACCACAGGTGAACTTTGACTACAGTGAAATGCTGCCACCTACAGGTGGGAATGAGCGGAGCACTTTGACTCCGTACTGCGCCGTCAGCGGGTGTGGAGGGTACATGCTGGAGAAGTAGGACAGGCCAGTGGGGGGATCAGTGGGTGCCCAGCACAGAATGTGGCTCAGCTCAGGGGAATCGGCATCTATTGTGTGCCACGTCACCAGGTACTGCAAAAAGAAAACCACAAATATTAAGCCTTTCACTATTTTATTGTGTGAATGATCTTGTCTAGATTTACTGCACAGTATGAACTGGGCTATAATGTATAAAGGCTTGATCCTACAATTTTCAAGCAAAGCACCTTTTCAAGAAGCTCAACACAGTGGCAGCAGTTTTTCTTGCAGACAAAGAACTTTAGCAGACGCCTCATGCATGTAATATCAGATTACCACAACGCCCCTTAAAAGAGATTGAAAGCTTATGTCTCTAACAGACTCCTGCCTTTCCTGTTGTTCTGAGCTCAATAACTTAACTGTACAACACCGGAAAGCTGTGCTAGTCCAAAGAAGTTAAAGTCCCATCCTTCAAGCTGCTGACTCATTGAACTGCTCTGGGAGTTGTCAGTGTGTAAAAGAACACAAGCAATTAAGGTAATTGGCTTGTAGATCTCCTGTTTGCACACAGAGACGACTAAACTGTGCACTGGGAACAAGTTCTGTTTTTCCCCAGTAAACAAATAAAGTGGAGCCAAGAGCTTTTCTGTCGATACAGATATTGTCGCAATGATCAAATAACCGTAAGCAACTTTCCTCAGGGACGCAAACAGAGAAAACAAACTCTTTCATTACATGATGGAAAACAGACTTAATGTCACTGTCCTAAACATGCAAAAAAGGGGCAAATCTGCACTTAAGAAACAGCGACTACCCAGAGCTATACATCTCTTTAATACAAGGAAAAATAACCATGTCACACCATGTTTATTCAGGAAAATACTGTAAGGAAGAGCCAGCAATATGCATGTTTCAGATAACTGAATAGAGTCAAGAAAGGTGAGCTGAATGTGACCAGCTGACTCTTGACCTCTCTAAGTGGTGATTTATGGTCCATCTCACCTTCACAGCTTCTGGGACATCGCTGACCGCTCCAGGGTCCAGGCGGACCAGACGGGTCACTTCAGTCACTATAGCTTCGGCGTTCTTAAACCTGCAAACAAAAACCACGACATTTCAGCATCAGAGCGCCAATCACAACATCTTAACAACAGGCTAGCCTTCCTTCACTTAGCAAGCAAAAGAGATTTAACACTAGGGAGCAGGATAATAAAGACACTTTTCCTGAAAGGGACCGTTTCTAAAAAGAGAACAACCAGTTTGCGGTTATGTTAGACTAGATTTCAGACACGAATCCCTTGCCTTGTTCAAAACAGAAGGCCATGAACACCAAAGCCCTTTAGATGACACTTTGTAATGATCACCAATTTTTACCACCGAAAGCTTGTGGATCAATGTGCACAACTGACAAGTTGTAGAATATCCAGTCTATAGAAATAGAATATCCAGGTAAAATGGGTCCTGGCGTGTCCGTGTGTGTCCTGTTCAGTGTGTGTCCTGTTCAGTATATACCCTGCCTGCTTGCCTGGATAGGCTCCTGAATCACATGCCGTGCTCAGAAAATGGATGGATAGGAAATTTCCAGGTACACAAACAGGTGTTTGGAAACAGTACATCAGCTGGGGCCCTAGTGCTGTGTTACCTGGCGGGCAGCTGCAGTGCCAGGTAAGGCGAGATGCTCCAAGCCAGGTTGACGTTGTCCTTCCACTGCTTCTCACTCAGGCTGATGTACTTGGACCTCCAGTTGGCGATGCTGGTCTCCACTGACTGCTCTGTGGAGATGGCCAGCTCTTGGGTGGACAGGGGGTTGTACCACGTGGTGAGCCGCTCTATCTCACTGGCCTGGAAGACACAGGTTGCAATGTTTCCTCTCCAGCACAAATCAAACCCCCTGAGCCAGGGGCAAAGCAAAGAGGCAGGAACAGCAGGCTGCTGTACTTGTCTACATGACAGAAGTACAATAGGGGCACCGTCAGTCTTACCAGTAAAGCCAGGAGTAATGTCCGGCGCTTCATGTAGTACTTGTGCAGCTGAGTTCCCCTATTGCTTTTCTTGGACAGTCCTATAATAAAAAAACAAGTTATGCAACTACCTAGGATGTCAAGAACATATCTGATCTTCACAGGTTATCAAAGACGGAATTGTGGAATCCATTCACAGTGGAATTATTCATCAGAACAGGTGTTGGTTAATGGTTTTGTGGATAAGCCTGAGTGACAGCGTGCACAGTGCCATTACATGACTCATACAGATCTGCAGTGGTCTGTGGACACTCAACCTGATTTCTTGGAGATGGTGGACATGCCGCTGGACAGCGGGTACGTGTTGATCCAGCCCTGCGTGGTCTGCTGCCGGGAGCCGACAGCAACGTCGAGATTGTTCCTGGAATCCGTGACCGTCATCACGGACAGGCTGTTCACAGAGGGGTCCTGATTGTCTGTGGGCAGAAGGGGGAGCTCAAGTCAACAGCCTTGGGAATGGAGCACCAAGTGGACCCCTGGGGCAAAGGGGACCACCTGAAACCTGCTTCTTAAGCAGGGAGCTAAACACATGGCGAGACCCAAGGCCTGCTCTCAGGTATAGATCTGGTTAGAAAAACACATTACCTAAACAGATTCAGTCTGTTATGAGGACACAATCCAGTCTCACGTAATTAAGCAACATCTCAAAAGCCTAAACAAGCCTCATAAATGGGCATTACCAATCATACCTTACATTCAGCCATGAATGGGCAACCAGCAAGCAGCCCACTCACTGTACCCCACTACTGCAAGCAGAATGTTAAATTGGAGAGATTAAAGTAGCGGAAATGAGGAAAGAGAGAAAGAACTATTTTAAGATTTGCATTAGGAAAGGGACAGATCTCTTCCCAGACAAAAATCTGACTATTCTTCCCGACACTGGTATTTAGAAGTCAGATTCCTGCAACTGTGGCTGTTGCACTAAGACCTACAGATGCAGCCAGGCGCATCAGGAGCAGAGTGACTGTAGTGGGAGTGATGTTTTAGCTGTCATTCTGTGTAGCTGGTATGTAAGGTGCACAGCATATAACAGCAAACTGCTGCTTAAATGTCAGGATGGGGGTGGATTTAAAGGTTAGATTGACACAGTCCTATCACTGTAAAAATTTCAGTTCTCGTATATTTAGATTAATGGCTTAAACACAAATGTACGTAGTGGTCTCCTTCTGCTTGTAAAAAGTACTTTGGGATCCTTCGGGGTGAAAATGTAAATAAAAGAACTTAATTATAATTATAAAGAGCCATAGATTTATTGGTCTCATTTAAGTCCATGATTCAATTAACTATTAATTCAAGCTTTATTGTCCCATTGGGGAAATTTGTTTTACAGCACAATCCCAACATAACACAATGACAGGCAAAGGTTTATCAAGAAGTCAGTGCAAGGGTGAAACAGCAAGATAAGAGAAAAGATACACTGTAATGATACATTGTTTGAATAGAGGTACTGCAGTGGGGATGAACGATTTCCTGTGTCTTATTAGTATTACACCTGGGGACACAGAGGTGTCTCCCAGATGGAAGAAGTGTGAACTCTTGGTGGAGGGTGTAGAGACTTAATCCAAAACACTTCTTGCTTTGCCACCCTCTGTGGGGGATATTTAAGGTAATTTGATTTGCCCCAATTAATTTGCTGCATATTTTGACTTGTTTGTCCAGCCTATTACAATCAAAGGTACTGATGATACCCAACTAGCAAGTGTGCTATGTTAAGACACTTTCAATGAAAGACTTGCAGAAAAATGTTTGGATGGTTCTGTCTAGATTGAAATAGCGTAGCTTCCTTAGAAAAAAAGTCTGTTTTTCTTTTTTATAAATGGCGTCACGGCATCTGTCCCAACTCAGGTTTTTGTCTATGACCAGTCCCAGGTTCTTGTAGTCATTGACAATTTCTATGGTCTGACTGTTACAATAAGTTGGATGGGGGTTGCATTTTTCCTGAAATCAATGACGAGTTCTCTATGCAGTTAAATGTTTTAAAAATAAAAGAGCTGGTCATATTGAGTAAAGCCATTTAGAACGGGTCCATGATGGTTTTCTGGGTCCCTTAATAAACTGCCCAGGGCTGTGAATTGGCATCCAAACAAGTTACATGGGCCAAACAGCCTCCTCTCAGGTGTTTCACACTGTCATGCATTCACGTCTTTGAGAGGTTCTTGCATTAGACTTCAGTTATGGAGAGGAGGAGAGCTCTGAATGTGATATAAATACCCACATTAACGCACGAGCCGGGCACTCATGCTCAAATCCCTTAGCGAGTTGCATTTTTAAAAATAGTTGGATGTGACTTTTAAGATGCCTCAAAAGGCTCTGCAAATGACTTCACCGCGCGGTTACCCACCAGTGCAGGTCTGTTTTCTGAAAAGATCCAAGGTGACCCTTAAAAGCGCCGACATCGGCCACCGCGCAAAATCCGATGAACGAACGGAGCACAGCTGGGAACACGGCGCTGAGGGAGCTCACCAGGCGGCACCAACTGGCTGGCAGCGAGGTACTTCTTGTCCGACAGCATGCTGGCGTAGAACTTGATCATGATACTTATGTCCTCACGGAGGCGCTTCTCCCCCTGGGTGGGGAACTTCGGAGCGATGCTGCAGGGACACAAGGAGGAGACAAAAAAACCCAGATGAAACCCAGGGCTTAAAACATCTGGCACTGCAGGAACGCAAGTGTGAGAGCTACAGAAACCAGGGGCCAGCTCCGCCTGGGCACCTGCACGGCGAACGAATATCGCCTCCTTCCTCTCTCCGCGCTTTACCTGAAGTAATCGAAGACGGTGGAGTAGATCTTCTCTCGCAGCACGTTGCGGATGGTGGCGTTGGTGACGACGTCGGCGTGAAGCAGCGCGAGGCCAAGGGTCAGCAGCCTGAGGAGGGATGAGGAAGTCAGCCAGAGGGTTTAAACGACTAAAGAGATTATAATAATAAACTATTTTATATAGCGCCTTTAAAGGTGGCTTCTCATAGCGCTTTACAGAATGACAACAACAATAAATAAAAAGAATACACAAGATAAAACACAATTACAAATCACAAGAGGAGACCATGGATGGGGGTACTAAAAAAAGTAGAAGCAGAGGGGTAAAGAATGGAACCAGTTCAGTAAAGGCTCTTCTAAAGAAGGTTTGAGTCTGGATTGGAAGTTTAGAGAAGGTGACTCTCTGATATCCTTGGGGAGAAAGTTCCAGAGATTTGGGGCATTTCCTTGCCCCCCCAAATGCCACCGATCTGGCTGGTGTCAATTCCACAGGCGGTTCTGCCTCGCACTAGCAAAACGGCCGGTTGTCTGGCGTGAAAGAGAGACGCGGCAGAGGCACCTGAATCTGGGTCCGATGGCAGCGACGTGGCGGTTCAGGCAGCACTTGGACCCGCCGACATTCAGAGACAGGGACCTCTGCAGCAGGCTGGCGAAGATCTCCACCTGGTCCGCGCTGCAGTACTTGGCGATCTCGAACCGCTGCACCAGAAACTGAGGGACGCAAAACCGCGTTCAGCACCAAATCGCCAAATCGCTAAAAATTAAAAAAGCCTTTTCATACCTAACAAAATCCAACTTCTTTAGGGGAAGTTCATACAAAACATCTCAAATAAACTATAATCCACTAAAGCCTAAAGAGACATTCAACAACATGCAACGGATCAGCTATTAAGCATGAAACCTATTTTTTTTACTTAAGCTTTTTTAACTTTTAAGTATTGTTGCCAAGAAGTGTTTTACTGACGCAAGCATGAAACACATCATGCCAAGGTTTTTATCCCAGAAGACCTTGCACGCGCACCTCGATCCAGATGTAATGTGGCGTGACCTCGGGGGGGCGGGGAATGGGCTGGCTCTCCTCGGATGCGGCCAGCGGGTCGGCCTCCTTCTGCATCTCGGAGAACAGGCCCATCTTCAGCTCCACCGTCATGTGCCACGCCCCCGCCATCTCTCGCATGAACTAGCGCCAGAAAGACCGCACCATCAATAAAAACAGCTACATCAACCAGGTAAGCTGCCCTAGTAAAGCATACTAGGTGTCTGCCTGTTCTACACCAAATTAAACTGATTGGTAACAAACACCTCAATCTTTAATCTGGAAGAAATGATTATGAGGCTGACTTATCCCTCCCATTTGAGATGAGACCAGGTGACCTTGTGCTCTACAGATGGATATGCAGCCATTTACTTGGGCACTGAAGACAAAAGCTGATTGTCACAGGAAAAGCATTAATGGATGTCAGGCTTTGAAAGTCCTGCCAGCAGAAATGGGCTATGAGCATTGCAGTTCCAGCAGGCCAGAAGCACAGATGCAGACTTGAGTGAAAAGACATGAAACTGCAGAGTGGAGGTGGACTCTAGAGATATCCCAAAGAGCCAGGTGCAAATTTTGTGCCATCAGAAAAAGTAAAACTCAATCAGATTGAAGCTCCACACTCTACAAAACTCTTTTTACCGTAGGGCAATGAAAAAAAAAAGTGCCAAACAAACATTTATTTTTGTACAGCAATTAAAAAACTTTGAGTTTTTGGACCAAAGGTAGCTTTCCTACAATTCAATACAGGGAGGTGGCTCTGAGGCTAAGGATCTGTGCCCGTTGCTGGAAGGTTGCTGGTTCATATCCCGCAGCAGGTAGAAGAATCCTACTCCGTTGGGCCCCTGATCAAGGCCCTTAACCCCAACTGCTCCAGGGGCGCTGTACAATGGGTGACCCTGCGCTCTGACCGCAAGCTTCTCTCCCTGTCCGAGTGTCTCTTGGAGAGCAAGTTGGGGTCTGTGAAAAGACAAATTCCTAATACAAGAAATTGTGGCCAATAAAGTGATCTTATCTCAATAAAAAAGGTGCCGTCCTTCAGATGACACATTAAAGCAAGGTCCTGACTCTCTGCAGTCGTTTCTTTAAAGAGTAGGGGTGTTACCCCAGTGTCCTGGCCGAATTTCCCCCTGGCCTTTACCAATCATGGCCTCCTAATCCCCATCTCTGAACTGGCTCCATCACTCTGCTCTCCTCCCCACTGAGAGCTGGTGTGTGGGGAGCGGACTGGCGCATCTTCCAGGTGGGGGCTACACACCGGTGTCCCTTGTACCTGTAAAGGGCTTTGATTGGAGTTTCCAGAAAAGCTCTATATAACATTTAAGTTATTATCAATAATTATTAAGATGGTAACTACTTTTTAAGAAATTGTTTTTCTTAAGAACAAAAACCCGAGCCCTAGCGTGTTCAGGAGCGTCCTCGACGCAGCCGTACCGGGACCTCCACGCTGTTCCGCGCCGCCAGGAACCACTCCCAGCAGGCGATGGCGGCCTCCATGCCGTGCTCCGTGAACATCTTGAGAGGGGCCCAGCACAGGTGGTGCAGGAGCTGGGGGTCGCAGTCTGCGGGAGAGACAAGTGGGACGGCGGGAAGAGATCAGGACCTGCGGTCGCGGCGCACGCAGTCGCCGAGACGGGAAAACCCACTGCAAACTCAAAGGCGGAGCAGCGGCCAGGGAGCTGGACTCGAGACTGAAGAGGTGGGAGGTCACGCCCCAGCAGAGACAGTGCTGTGCATGGTGCTTCACCCACATTGCTCTAGCAAAACACCCAGCTTGTGTCCGTCGTGCATCAGTGGGTCCCCTTGTAACTCACCGCAGATAAAAACACCAGCAAAATAAAATGTGTAAAACAAAAGAACTGAAATATCAGACCGATTTTAAACTGAGTATGGGTAATACCGGTCAGGTCATGCAATCTATTTGTTTTACTCTGGACTGCACCATTGAATAACCCAGAGAAACAACTTTGCATACTGTACAAAAGCATCCGAGATGTTTTGATTGCCTTTTTCAGTCCGAGGATAATGTTGTTCAGCTTCCCACAATGCATCACAGTATGATGTAACATCCACCTCCCGCCGATGCCCCGCCAGTCCAGTACCTTTCGAGCTGATGAGCAGGGCTGTCAGCTTGAACATGGCCTGAGTGTACGCTTCGGGCTGGGCGGCAACCAGGGCGTCGCTCATCTGCTTGATCACCAGCTTGTTGAGATCAGAGGTGCTGTGTGTGGCTTCGGAGAACTGGATCATCCCCGAGACCTGCGCCCAGAGAGTGACCGAGTGAGGCAGACGGAGTGAAAGCTCCGCACAGCTTCCCGAACCTGAAACAGCCCCACACCGACCCGAGAGCTCTCCTACAGGCGCAAGCCTGAGAGAAACAACTGCTGCGAACGTTAAGATCTGACTTGCTTTAAGCACGTTGCTTAAGTATAAATGTTTAAATCTGGAGGTGGGAGGGCAGCACAATTCTGACGCTTCTATAATGCTCTGGAAGGGGAGCCACTTCTTTTACCTCTCCGGCGTAGCGATTCCGAAGGTTCAGGGATGCCATGAAGTTGGAATAATCTTTCTTGACGCAGGCCGGCCTTTCCGTTAACTGGGTCGTCTGCAGGATGAGCCAAAAAAGAAGATCCTTAGATCAGTAATGCAGATGCAGTCCCATGACCTGATGAACACAGATCCTCTGTGGAGTGTTTTTGAACCCTGAAGATTTAGCAAAAAATGTTTGATTCTTCCACAGATATTTGCATATCTTTTAAAAGCTGCTGAACAGTTCAAAACTAAAATAACTGATGAAGCCTTCCTGGTCTCTATTACTTACCTGGATAATGCACAGACCTAGCCTCAGACTACCACTAGGCGCTCCAGACAGTACCCCACTGTGCCAGCACATGGCCTCTAGACTGTTTTTTCAATTTTTGATGGATAATTCTAAGATCAGTTCATACCCAGGTATGGGGCAAGAGTGATGCTATAATGACTTACTGAAACAGTACTTTGCTATCCATGCTTGCCATAATGTACAATGTTATGTCTCACAATAAAAGCTCCTGACTAAACTGGATACCTTTCAAGCTTCATGCACTTTTCAGGGTTAGCCTCAATTAATCAAATATAAGACAGGGCCTTCTCCTGTTATGCCCCCAAGCTCTGGAACTCTCTCTCCAAGGATATCAGAGAGTCACCTTCTCTAAACTCCTTCAAATCCAGACTCAAAACCCTCTTCTTCAGAGAAGCCTTTACTAAACTGGTTCTATTCTTCACCCCTCTGCTTTTCTTAGTACCACCATCCACCGTCTCCTCTGTATATATATTGTAGTTCAGTCTTATCTTGTGTATTCTCCCTGTTTATTGTTATACTCTTCTTAATTATTATTGTCATCCTGTAAAGCGCTTTGAGAAGCCACCTTTAAAGGCACTATATAAAATAAAGTTTTTTATTATTATTATTATTATTATAAGACAAGGTCACCGCAAATGGTCGTAACACTTTCTTGTTCTGATGTGCCAGAATAAACTTTGGATGCATCCACAAAGGTTAAACAAGTCAGTGGATGACTTAAGGAAGTTAACTAGTTAACTAGGGCCCAATCTGTTGTAATCTGTAATCTGCTCATCAAACACTGAAAAATACTATAAACAGCAAATGAAATAACTATCAAACCTGAAGTAGCTTTCCAGTTCACTCAAATCAAAGCTATGGAAATGTCTTTCCAATGCTATTCCACTGACTTCTGAAATGTCCGCAAAGATAGACATCCAGTGCTAAACTTCCAAAGTATACATTTTGTAAAGACGCCCTGTCAAAAGGAAGCCGCTGTGTGAAAAAAGCAACAGGCACCAGCCCATTTCAGGTACCTTATGTAGAAAACACTTGATTTTCTATCCCAGAAGACATTATTTTCTCTCTGTTATTGCTAAGCAGACTAAGAGATGTCTGCGAGGACGGCTGGCTCTTTCAAGGACTGAAACCCCTGGCGTGTACAGTACTCACACACCCCGCCACTGAGACACGCTGCAGCGAAAAGCAAAAACAGAGGTGATGTGTATGAAGACCGCTAAACACGGCACGTTGTCGGGGATGACAGGACGCGTGGCAGCCATGGTGTGGGTTAGACAAACCTGAAGGAAAGCTGGCTGGTGGAGGGGTACACACATGGCAGGGCAGGGGCAACAGGCGAGATGCACATGGAGGCGACAGGAACACAGTCACATCATCAAGGCAGTCAACAATGGGGAAATGGAACAAAACAGCATGAAGCAGCATCAGGGATGAATACACATGCAAACCCACTGCAATCACAGGGAAAATGGCAGCATGGCAGCTGTCGCCTGGACAGACACAGTGACCCTGTTTCCCCAGGATGTTCAGTTCAATTCCTGCCCACTGTAGGCATACAGGCTCACTGTAATCCGAGTTCTGCGCAGCCTCATTGAGAACTTCAGAATGGACTATATTTATCCGTTTCCAAAATAGATCTTGCAAGTGGCTTTTTTCTGTAAAATGTTTCGACTCCTCAATATTAGACTTGCAAGTTTATCTCCCATTTCAAGATAAAGAACTATAGAACCCAGGTCTTCGATGTCGCTTAATTTTTTATAATTAATGCACCCAGTAATACAGAAATTTCTTTTTGTTAGTATCTAACATATTTAATACCTACCTGTAACACCTACAGTCTCTATCAGAATCTTTATTTCAACATTTTGCCTTATTTAAATAATTCCGAGCCTTTTGATTGGGACAGGATAATATCTTTCGTTGAAGCAAGGCCAGGAAAGCTTGTTGGCTTTGATTTAACTGCACACTAAGTGGGCTGGGTGAGATCTAAGGTGGTCGGGTAAGCAGGTAAATTTGGGGATATGAGGTGGTAAGGAAGCCATCAGTCAAACTTGACATTTTCCAGGTTTTACGCTGAAATACCCAGTTCCCTTCACCAGCGCATACAGTTCACAGAGGGGGGGAAAAAAAAAGAAAATACCCAGGAAGAACCAAAACGCTTTATCGTGGGAAAGACTTGCGCCCTGCTGTGCATGCAACCCCAGAGATCTGGCCAGATGCACTCTGTTGTGTGCACATAGGAAACGCAGCTGCAACTGAACCTTGAGCCCTCTCACTGGGCAGCACTCAGACTGACCCAGGTACCAGTAAGAACATCGAGCCCAGTGGCTCCACCAGTAAAGGCACTAGCCCGAGCCCCCTGTTGCAGGTTCGAGTCTGGATTTCCCCAAGCAGCAGCGCACAATTGGCTGATAAAGGATAAAGAGCAACGTTCTCAGCTCTCAGCAACACAGGGCCCCCTGCAGGCTCCTGGGAGCTGTCAGCGAAGGACAAGCGCCCCCTACAGTCAGCGCTGAGCAAGTTACAGCTGCAGTTGTAAGGGTGATATGAGCGTTTTTCACTTGATAATTCACTGAACAGGTTTAGGGCCATATCTTAAACTAGCATTATTCTTAGTACAGAATAACCTAGTTCCAGTCAAAGTAGCTTTTTTTTAGGGGAATTTACAACTTTTTAAGGCAGCTATGATCACTGCAAAATACCAGTGCACATCAATGTTCATCAGGTGCAGAAAACATCTGCATAAAAAAGTACTTTGTAAAAACTCATGTATGCTCCTAAGTACAACAGTTTAAATATTTTAAAACAAACTATCAGATGGTGCAGGACACTTAACAGAAAACAAGCAAAAATATGCATGCGCACACACACACACACACACAAAAATATCTCAAAAGGTAATGGTAATTCAGAGTGGAGCTGGCTACTGTAGGGGCAAATGTACAGTAAGGTCTCTCTCTTCCTCACTCACCCCCAGGGTGGTACTTTGCCGGTTGTAGCCAGCAAAGTGTAGGATGCTCTCGGTCGCCATGGCCAGGCCGGTGTGCTGGGACAAGCCCGAGACCCAGTTCTGGTGTTTGTTCAGATATTCCTTAACACAATGTTCAAATATGTTAAAACAACTTCAACAACATAAAAGTGCAATTCTACAGCATGTCCACAAGGGGGAGGCATTTGCTTTCCTAACAAAGAATCCTGCATTCATAGGAAAGTTAAAAAGGTAATGAAATGATTTGTTAAAGCAGCTGAGTCCTGAAGTGTATTTGAATTGTAGCAAAACTGTTACTTTTATACACAATCTTCCACCAATGCAACATGCAAACAAACGTGAAACAAAATAAAAAGACATGCATACAGACATAATAACAACTTTACACACTTTTTGCCAGTCTAACCCTAGCCCCACCAATATAAGTATCAAGGCTTAGTTTTCAGTCCTGCACGTACCTGAAGGTGTGACTTAGTGACAGAGGGCGCCCATTTCATTGCCTCTTTCAGAATCTCCCCACATCGAGCAGCAAAATCTTTCACGATACTCTAAACGAGAACCATGAAAACAGAAGTTGTAAAACCTAGAATTGTTCCAACTGTTCTAGAGCTCAAGTGACTGAATCCATGGAAAAAGCAGAAAAAGCAAAAGCTCTGACAGAACCCCCCCCCCCCACCACCACCACCAAATCACTGGTTCCTCCATCCCTCCAAGACTGCCAAAGGAAGGGAACCTGTGAGAGAGGGATCCCAGAGGAGCAGTGAACAGGACAGGATCCCGTGAGGGAGGGATCGCAGTGGAGCAGCAAAGAGGACAGGACAGGATCCCGTGAGAGAGGGATCGTAGAGGAGCAGCGAACAGGACAGGACAGTACAGGACCCCGTGAGAGAGGGATCGCAGAGGAGCAGCGAACAGGACAGGACAGGATCCCATGAGAGAGGTATCGCAGAAGAGCAGCGAACAGGACAGGATCCCATGAGAGAGGGATCCCTGAGGAGCAGCGAACAGGACAGGATCCTGTGAGGGAGGGACCGCAGAGGAGTGGCGAAGAGGACAGGATGGGATCCCATGAAGGATGGATCGCAGAGGAGCAGCAAAAAGCCCAGGATCCTGCGATATCAGAGGAGTTTCACAAAGACACAGCAATTCCAAGCAGCAGCGACAGCAAAGCTGAACCCACCTCTCTGGCTTCATATGTGTCTGGAACGGTGATTCTGTATGGTGTGTCTGGAATGTCATAGTATGGCGGGTCCTTGTGTATGTCCTAGGAACACAAACAACACGCATGGCCTGAAAGAGTTAGTCTGGTATTGAGAGTAACACACAAACACGTGCAAATACATGTCAAAGAGAATTCTTTGGGAGTTACATTTAAAGCAAATTCTCCAATACACTGCACAAATCAAATACTTACATAAATAGTTAATACATCTATTTGAATACTTTAATATTCTTCATTGAATCTGTTTTTTTCTACTCAATTATATGAAAGCTCACAATCTGATTTATATGCTTTGCCTGTTTTAGAAAAAAAAAAAAGACTAGGAACAATTTAAAAATCCTATTCTGCTTGCTTGGAGATGGGTCACAGAATTCAATTCGTACAGCGCTGAGGGACAGGGAGAGAGTCTGCAATATGTCCAGCATGGTTTTTAAAACTCTGCCACTCCACAGCAGGTGAGGGAACCTGAGGAGAGGAAAGGAGACACACATCTCAGTCAACGCGGCGAGGCGTGTAGAGGGTACATATCCAATATAAGACAGGATTCTTATCATGTTTAGAGACTACAGATCCCCAGTGGGTGAGGAGAGAGAAAAGGTTTCTGAAACAAGTGGTGGGTGTGTTGCGGTCCTGCGGTCGCTTCTGCAGAGAGGGACGGCGCCGGCAGTGCCACACTCACGTCTCTGCCAGGCCCGAGAGGTACTTGTCTGCCACCCTGCGGATCCTCTTGTGGGTGTGGTTGAAATTGACCAACAGGAACTGAGCGTGCCTCTCCAGCTCCTCCTCGTGCTCCTTCGTCTTGGGCTGAAGAGAACGAGCGACAGAGCAGTTACAGACGGCAGTTTCTGGAAAGCAAGTCTGGTTTTTATTTCGAGAAGGGAGCTGCGTCAGCATGCGTAGGCTGCAAAGGAACAAGTTAAGGTTTATTTTGTGTTTAGAGAGAAGAAATTAAACAATTGTTCAGCCTTCAAACGTTGCGTTTCTTTTCTTCTCTTTTCAGCATGGAATAAACCTTTACTTGTTCCTTTGCAGTTTTTATTTTACTGTAAATCCTGACAGTGACAAATTTCCTGGCAAATCCTGATATATTCAGATTGAAGAAATCTAAAAGAGTTCACTTTGTGCCTTTGAGAATGCTTGGATCGGGTGTCCTTGTGATTTCTCTATATAAGATTAAAAGGTTTTAGCACCATCCGTCTGTCAGTGCAGGACATTCCCTTAAAGCCCTGGAATATATCTAGTTATTCCTCTCTCAGCTGATTCTTGGGGTAGCAGTATTTTTCTAGTGCGTGTTGACCGCAGTTATACACTTTATTCCCCAATGAGAAAGACGAAGCAATAGCACCACCAACAACAAAGTGATAATGTTTTGTAACCGGGCACAATCATGTGTCCACAATGTTTCAAGATTAACGTGCAGTACCTTTTCAGCCATCATCTGGAGGAAAACCTCAAAGACCTTGTCGCCAACTGCTATCACACACTGCATCATCCCTGGCAATTGCAAATGGTTCCGATTAGAAATGGATCGGACTTTGCAAAAAATAAAAACGAGATGCAGGCTGTGAATAACAAAGCATTATTGCCACTGTCCTGTATTCACCTACCTGACTTGTCTTTCTGTATGGCTTTGTCCTCGAAATATCGGAACATCACCTGGAAACGATCCGGATCCATGGACCGCAGGACCCTGGGCAAGAGAGTGTGAAAGCTTCTTTTGCTAAACTGGGTTTTTCCATTAAATGAGTGGAGAGTTCCACAACCCATAACATAGTGAAGTTATTTTAGAAACAAATGCTTTCATGGGCCTGATTTGCAAAACATTATTCAAACAGATCACAAGATTACTGGCACCCAGTCAGGATGCATTTAAATTGAGTCATGATCTCCAGTACTGCCCATGAGAATTACTACTATGTAAGTTTAACAAAAATCAATCTGATTTTTTAAAAATCAGGACTCCATCCATCATCAGAAAGCAATTTAATCCTACAAGCAGTGCAGGGTGCGCACACACGGGGACAATTTAGAGACACTAATTAACTTAACCCGTATGCCTTTGGAAGAGGGCAGCAACCCCCCCACACACAGGAAAAACATGCAAACTCCACACAGAAGGTACGCCCAGACCTGAATGAAGCCCAGCCATTTTTAGCCGCAGCTGAAGGAACATAGGTGAACGCTGACAACGGGGCTGAAATACCTCATGTACTCCAGCCTGTACACCGACAGCAGGTAAGTCGACATGGCGAAGTCCAGCTTGTTGATGAGGGCAGCCACTTCAGGGGGGGGGTCCAGTAGGTTTATAATGGTGCTTCTCAGGTCATTCAGCTCAGCCTGGGAAAAGACGACTCTGAGCACAGGCACTTCTAGAAAAAAGATAGCCCCCCTCCCATCCAAGATCGCTGCAACTACGCTCATAGTCAAGACTTGCAGAGTTCTGGCTGGATACCATACAGATGAAGTGCAAGTGATTACCTTTCACTCATATAATAGTAATAATTAATTCTTCTTCTTATTATTGCCCTCCTTCAATATTAAGTGCGTAGAAAGAAACAGAAAAAAGAAGCACCTTACACAAGGCTGAGAGGGACTGCAGAAAAACTAAGTTGCTTCTGAGGAACATGACTGTAACCTTTCATAATCAAAGCCCCTTTTTCCCCCGAGGAGCCGCGTGCCGGAGGCTTACGGGAGTGACGGTGTCGTTCTTGAGGGCCGAGTTGTACTGCAGCTCGGAGCGCAGGGGCTCCCCGCTGGGGAAGGTGAGCAGGGGGGACTTGGAGGCGATCTCGCACACGCCCTCGTACCACTCCTCGGGCCACAGGCCTGCGGGGGGCAGAGCAAAGCGTCACGCCGGGAAGACCGCAAACCACACAGCAAAACCTCCTTACGAGAGGCCAAGCGCCAGGCAGAAGAAGAGGCGAGCGTCTGTAACTGGTGCCCTGGGCTCATTCTCTATGCAAGCATCATGCCGTCACGGGTAAAGCCGAGAATTACATTATTTCATTTTACTGACGTTTTTATCCAAAGTGACTGACATTTGCACCCACTTATACACCTGAGTTACTTTATTTAAATTATTTGGGCAAAGGACCTCCCTCAAAGGTTACAACAGCAGTATCTCACCTGGGATTTGAACCCACAGCCTTCCAGATACAGGCGCAGGACCCTGAACCCGGCCCCACAGTGCTGCTCCTCAAGCAACACTGAGCAATACTACTCTCCTGTGAGGGGGGGTGTTGCCCACTTCAGTGTGGCTTACCTGATTAAATTGGTAAGAAGCACATTCAGAACCTGTGTAAATTTGTGCATTATCCAAATAAAATTCAGTACTTCTGCTTTTTGGCCTTGAAGAATTTTAAATGCTGTTACACTCGCTGAAGCAACCTTGTTGATCACTGCAGTCAAACAAGGGGATAAGGCAAGAGTCCACTCGATGACCTCTTGAACACATACCTGAGCCCTCCACAGCAAACCCCATCACCACAGAGTACAGCCAGAAATCCCTGAAGAGCTTCTGCAGTCTCGGCTTGGCCTCCTTAATGGGCGGCAGCCGTCTTGTCAGCTGGAGAAACACAAGAAGGCACAAGGGGGGTTAGACCTGCCGCCCTACAGTGCATCCAAAAATGAAGCACTCAGGGCACCACGATGCACTCACAAGGAAACACAGTTAGACTACTGTCTTACAGCTCCATGGTACAGGGATCGAGTAGAGCTTGGGACCCCTGTCAGTGTGGAGTTTGCATGTTCTCCTAACAGGGAGACGTCAAGGGATTTGTTCCCAGAACACCTAGAGTTTGATGTCCTGAATAACCTCTTCTCACTAAGAACATAAGAATGTTCCTAAATTTGGCTCCTTCATCCCCTTTGGCAGTTAGTAGCTAACAGTAGCTAAGCTCATCCATTTCGTGATGAAAGCTAGGAAATCGTCTTCAACAGTACAGCTGGATGGCTTGTTCCATGCACCCACTACTTTGGAATAAAGGGGGCCTCCTATTCTCATGTTGGGACCTTACTGATGCTGTGATGTCGTTGTTGTTGTTGTTGTTGTTGTTGTTGTTGGTTTAAGTGACAAGTCGGGTCTGGGGACAAGGGTGAAAACATTACTCCATGTGTAAGAGTATAAGTCACTAACATACAACCTTAGAACATTCAATAGTAAGCCAAAATACTGCTGGCAATAACTGTGGTTTAACAAGCAGCATTTTGACACTTTTATTGTACATTGATTTGATACAGTATCTGATCAAGGGTCTCATTTTGACTGAATTATCAATCAGGATTTGCAGAGAGATGGAAGGTTTGGTTGCTCCT